CTTTTATTAAACAGGCCTACAATCCAGTAGTTTTGAAAAATACTCCAGAGATCAATGAAAAGCTGCGCATCGTCAAACACTTGATACGCATTAAGCCAATAACTTTTCCCTATGGACTCCCTAAAGATGAGAAGGATTACAAGCACTGCTACTTAAAAGAAAATGGAGAATTCATTGTTAGGCATCGCATTAATGACGAGAGTGATGAAGTGGCTCAGGCCTGGGCAGAGGTAAATAGTATAAATATGTTCGAATCCATTTTTTTTAATAAGTGGTATAAATTATTTTCATATTTGCCCATTTCTTTAAAATGGTTTTGATATTTCTCTCAAAGATGATGCTTTATTTAATTTTGAATTGAGTGAAGGCAAAACTTAATTATTCTTTATAACTAGATAGTTGTTTACAGTGCTTGTAAATTGGATGATCTATACCAGTACCTTGAACACCATTTGCGGTTAATTAGCATTTTTAAGTTATGTAATCTTCTTCAGACATATATTCCAGCCGCCTTATTTAGACAATGTAAATAATCTTTTATCTAAGAAAGACTTATAGTTTTTAAATTTCTAAAATGGACCACAGCTAAAATTTCTTACAATAACTAAAACAAAGTACTTTATTTTGTCTAGGTCAGGGTAGTGGAGGAACAAGAAGAGGAAGAGGATATTTGGAAGATGGACAAAGAAACCATTCAAAGAGAAGCCAGAAAGACATTACTGACATACAGGCTAAGCCAAGAATACTTTAGAGAGAAATATGTTTACAAATATAATCAAGATGGAAAGGAGCATCGATACACTGGGAAAGACAGAATAGCTAGTCACAGACAAGACTGGTACTAAAAGGAAATGGTACAGTGGAAAAAAAAGATTGCTAGAACAGATATGAGTTGTACTAATGGAATGTTCATTTCACAGCACTGTTATTATTACATTTTTTACTATGCACACTGTGTTATTGTTATGTTATTTAATCATATTCCTAACTAGCTTTCTTCTTCTTCGTTTTCATTGTTATGTTGGAGTGTTCAGATGACTAGACCAATACATGAGATGAACTGCACAGTGGTTTCCAAATCAGGGAGCTCTCCATATAGTTTTCTTTCTATTGGGGTGATTTGGGGCCAATGTCTTATATGGGCCTCTTGGTAAAGAGAGCAGTTTTGGAGGACGTGGTCGGCATTCTCTGGTGATACTCCACATGGGGAGATTTCACTGGTTCCTAACTAGCTAAATTACATGATTAGGAATTTTATTTGAAAAAAACTTATTTTGATCGCTATTGGGCATCTTTCATACTATATCATGCTTAATGACTATGGTCCAATCTCTTTCGTAGACGCATTCAGGAAGAAGGTTTCCATTTTACTTTTAAACCTCCAGTGAACACAACGGATCTGTACTCGAGCCCCTTGATAAGCAGCCAAGCATTTATGAACCAATAAATGGTTATCAAAAAGTATCATTTGATAATTTCAATCATCCACTTTAAAAAGACGAAATATTTTCCAGAAGCTCAAAACGAGTAAAATCTGCCCATGTGGAGTGTTACCAGAGAATGTTGAGCATGTCCTTCAAAACTGCATTCTTTTACCAAGTGGCTAGACCAAGACACTGGCCCCAAAAAAGCCATACTGAAAGTTTCATGAACTACATCTGGTAGTCAAATATTGTTAAAAAAAAACAACTGATCCCTGATTATCCAGACCCCTTTATTTTGTGGCCATTTTAAAATGTACTCAGATGTTTCTGAAAGTAGAGCGTATTTACACAATGAGATGCACAATAATACATTGAGGTTCCTTGTTCTGTTAAAAAATTTGTAGGAAATGTGAATGAAAATATTCATTAGGAATATTCTTAGGGTCATTTTGACCAGACTAGAAAAACCAATGAGGAACTGGGGCAAAGAACAAAGCAACAACCCAATGAAGTAGATATCCTTCAGAGATGCTGAAATGGACAGGCCACACCCTTCCAAAGTCAGTATCTTACATAACAAAACAAGCCCTCATCCTGGAGCCCCATTGAAAAGGGAAGAGGGACACCTCAGAAATACATGTAAGCAACATTTGGATGCAGATGGGTAAGATGTTGGGACAGAGTACTTGACCAGAACCGAGGAAGTTGGTTAGTGACTTATTCCCATAGGCAGAGATGAGATGAATTAAAAGAGAACTACTTTTAAGATTACACAAAACTAATTATTGCTTCGAGTACCATAGATGAAAGATGTAATTGAAGAACATTTATGGAATAAGAATTCCAAATTTCTTCACGGGATAGCTTCATTTCTAGATAGTTGCATGGTGTAATGACACAATAGAAAGTTTGGGTTTAATTGGGATTTTCTGTAGTGACTGACGAAGACTGTGCCCTTTTGATTCATTAAACTGTTTTGAAGTTATCAGCTGGAGTTATTCAATCTATCTATTGAATGTTCTGTTGTTGGTTGGATTTTCGAACTTGCTGCCAACGTCTACATTTATCAACACATCCACCATCAACACTGGCTATAGTTTTAGGCATTTTTTACATCTTGAGCTCCCAGGGCAAGCCTCTAGCATATCCTATGGTCTGATCAAAGGATTATTCTTACAAAGTTTTATCACGATAAGACAAAATAGTGTTAATTTCTATAAATAAGAATTATAAATTACTTTTTAGCGGCCCCCAAAAGGGGAAAAGACATATTAGTTTTGTGTGGTCTGTCTGTCCGTCCGTCCCGTTCAGATCTCAGAAACTAGAAGAGAAAATAAAATGAAATGACTATATACCATTTTTTTAAACACATTTATGCAAATGGTTTTAAATTTTGGATAAAAAAATATTATTGCTAAGTTATGTAAGTTTTGTCATAGTAAATATTACATTTACAAAAAAATGTAACTTTTTTTTTTAAAGAGAAAAAATCTATTTACTATGAAAATAAGTTGGAAATAATTTAAACAACAATTAATAAGTAGTTTCTCATATTATCGCCCTTAACTGCAGTGTGTTTGCAGCACCATGGAACACAAAACTAAAGGAATTTTTTTTTTTTAAACGGAAATGTTTTTTTCTTGAGGCTTTGAATACAAAACAATCAGATACTCATTATAAGACATCAGTTTGGCCAGGTTCACATTCACTTATCCCTTGGTCTGATGGATCTTTGGGGCACCACACAGGATCTGTCAACATTCTTTCTCCATTCTTCTCTTTCATTTGCCTTGATAGAATTTTATTATGGTATTCTTTCTGAAAATATTGAAACCTGCCTTTTCACCTGCCTGGGTGGACTACTTCTGATAGAATTTAATATCAATATTCTTTTGAAAATATTGAAACCTGCCTTTTTCCTGCCTGGGTGGACCACTTCGGGGGCCGATTTTAAGTTTGTGTTTCCACATAAACTCTTTGTAATCTTTTTTTTTTTTAAAGTTGTTCAAAGAGAATTTAGAATAAAAACATTTATTTTTTTTACTTACAAAACATGATTTTATTTCAACAACACTCAAGCATGACAAGCCAAAATAAATGACATCTTAATAATGGTGTACAAAAAATACATCTTTCACAAATACCAGTTTTAGTTCTTTGTAAGAAAACTGATTAATTTTAGCAGAAATTTAAAAACAAATTTAACTAGTTTTCTGGTGCTGAAACTTAACTCAAAAGAATTAGTCATTTTGTTTTCATTTTTTAAATCTCAAAGTTCCCAGAAAATAATCTTTTTGATTCAGCCACACTTTCATTTTTGTGAATTTGTACCTTTCACAAAAGAGACATCTTGTTATAATGAACACAGACATGATGACTATTGGTATTTTTGTTGAAGCCATAAGCTTATAATTGTGTATTGTCTCTAAGAATACCAATGCAAAAACCATTTGTATGGATACATCAATTCAGGCTCATAGGTAATGATAATACTACAATAGATGATAAATTAAATAATGGTTGTGAAGGTGATGAATATTATTACAAATCAACTCAAGCATTTGCATGACAGTAAAACAAAAAAAAAGACGAAAAAACCCTCAATCACTAGAACAAGTTTCAATTACAGGGTATTCTGACTGGCAACAACTTAAAACTATGTTTAACTAAAACATAATGCACAACAACTGAGATATTGCACCAATAACTTTAAGGTTCTAAACTGTACACAAGCCAAAAAGAAAAATATTTCAACCATGTACAGCTTACATTGTGTCACAGAAACATGTAAACCAGGGAGACGATATTGTCTAAGAAATTTGTTCTGTGTGATAACTGGTTCAGGGCATGAACTCACCTATACAAATGATTGTTCATATGCAAAATAAATAGTTACAAAATTTTCACGATTATTTTTTTTACAACAAGTGATTTTTTTTTATAAATGAATATACATGGAATATGAACAGGAACCTTGGAAATAAAAACAGGTATTTTATTAGTAACTAGTACAGTTTTACTTTTCAAAATGAAATTTATAAAAAGAAAATGTGTACTACACCTATTAATTTATTACTTTTTACATTAAATTGTAAAAATCTGAAGCACAAAGCAAAGCATTATTAGAATTTTGATTGGTAATGTCAGCTATGGAGTAAAGTTTGTCCAAGTGAACCAATATGTTTTAAGATATTCTATACTATATCCATCAAGTCAGCTGTTTTAAGTAATGCAGGCCAGAATAATAGTCAATAAATTACTTTTGCTGCCTTACTATATTCTAACAACACCAGGCTCACAGAAATGTGGGGAGTTTATATTCACACAAATGTTTGTCTTCCTAGAGAACTGTAAAGGTGCTAGATATAGACTGAGTTATTGGAGAGTTTCACAATAAACTAAATGCCAAAGAGTTTTAAGTCATAGAAAGTCTAATATTTCCTATACATTGTAATTCTTATATATTATATTTTCCACAGTGCTACTTAAGTGCACACAAATTAAATACCAGCACCTTTTAAAAAACATCAATGCTTCCTTTAGTTTGTATTCTAAATACACAGAAAAGCTTATCACCCCCCCCCCCCCCCCCCCCAAGCCTTTGAAATATCTAATAGTGAAGAAGGATCGCAAATATTTCTTATACATTTTTGAAGGACATTGACTGACGTCTTTTATAACTGATACATAAACAAAATACTGTAGAGAAATGTAGTAGTGATTAACGTTTAGTCAGTATTACTACATAGCCTGAGCTAGAATTAAATCTGGGATTAGTGGAAGATATTTATATTAGTGATTATGAAAGAACTATCATTTTTTCCAAGTAATGTGTGAACAAAAGCAAGATGTATAATAATTATGTCAATAATACTTTGATCTCTGCAATGGGTTGACAGATATTATTGTGTATATTTCATTAGACTAGAATATCATACAGGAATGGAGTTAGTCACAATATGACCATGGCAAAGATCAGTTCATTAGGTTACAAGAATTATGATAAGAACACGGTGATAACATCAAGTAAAATGAAGTGTAAAATGTGGTTGATTGACTCTGTCTTTTAGCCCATGTTTTGGTTTTTTTAAAATGCACAGTTAAACAATATAGTACATGAGGAGCTGACATTGACTCTCTGCATCCTTTTGTAAACACCTCATCATACAACATTATGATTACAACTAATTAGAAATACAAAATAAACACATTAGATGATATAACTCCATAAATGCTAAGTGTTATGAGACATTTAGAAAAAGGGGACTTAAAAGAAATCAATGTGTCATTATCTCAGTTGAAAAATCAACTGAAGAACACAAAGGCTTAGTTTTCTGGTGCTGATACTTAACTCAAAAGAATTAGTCATTTTGTTTTCATTTTTTAAATTTCACAGTTCCCAGAAAATAATCTTTTTGATTCAGCCACACTTTCATTTTTGTGAATTTGTACCTTTCACAAAGTGATTGGTTTTGCAGCACCATGTCAAAAACAATTAATATTTTAAAACATTGCTGTTACTGGTAAGGGTAATTTATTAGTTCGGGGCAGCAATACAAAACTGCTCCTTGGAACATGGAACAACCATGATTTAAATAATATTTACCACCTAACCTCCATCACCAATTATATAAATAAAAAATATCAGCATAGCCAGCAATAAAGCAAAACGTCATGTCAACTAAAAAATAACAAAAAAGTTAATTTTTTAAAAAATTGACATAAAAATTGTAAAATAAAACAATGTTAATACAAGAACACTGGATAAATGAAAAGTGTTTTACAAGACAATGAGTGTAAATACATATCAAATTTGTTACTGTCATAAAAAATATACAACTAATGATAGTAATCAAATAAAAGAAAACAAAAAAAAAGTGACAAAGTCTACAAGTTTACATAGTAACATCTACTTTGTGTACAACTACTCTCACTGATGTGAATCTGACAACAGCAAATAGAAAGAAACAAATGGCTCCCTGCAGACATACACTCAATGATAAAATGCCTTTTTTACTTAAAAAGAAAAAGTGAGTTTCCAAGCAAGACGTTTATACCATTAAAATACATGACATTGATGTCCTATGTAAAGAAATGTTAAAACATGGCACTTGACAGGTCATTACAAGGCAAACAGGATGGTGGGGGAAATAAAAAAACATGTTTCAATGTCTGATTCTTGGAATGAAAAAAAAACCAACATTGTTAACAAATATATTAGTGTTTACCCAAAGTGTGCACTTGTAATTTTTGGACTTAAAACTGAGCAAGTGCCCCAGCAAATTAACATAAAACCAGGGAAAAAAAGCCATAGCAATTATAGAGATAATGTATGCTTGAGTAATAAGTTTAGCTTTTTAATTTCATTAGTATATTCTCATGTAAATAAAAAAAAAACATTCATTTTATTGGCATGAATATTTTGTAACAATTTTATCAAGTCCCCTTAGTTGAAAGACACCTCAAACTGCTTCACTATTTCAAGGTAAAAGAAGTGCTTTACTTACTTTGGCAAACAATAACATACATGATTCAAATAACAAAAAAAGTGTGCACATGAAAATTGTTACAAGAATGTCATTGGATTTGTTGATCCTTCAAGCTAAAATGTAAAACAAAAAAAAAAAACGAGTTTTGATTAAGCTTTTGGCTTTTGTATTCAGTACAATGTTTGATGGATCCCAGATTTAGTCAAACTAAACCATGCGATCAAATGTTAGTAAGAGAAAACAGAATTAGAAACAAATCACTACCGTGAGAGTGTTGTCCATAGCTATAAATACATATTAAAAGAATACAGGTAATTGACTGTATCCAAAAGGAGAGTCGACCAAGCCATCCAAAACAAAAGAGGCTAACTCTCTCAACCTCAACTTTTCCTATTAACATAAAACCAAATGATAACTTCATCTGAGAGAAAATACTTTCTGGTATTTAAGCCTCTTCTGCTGCCTTCAATCGTTCATGCTCTGGGCTGGCTGGAGGTTTCTCATCAGCTGGAACGCTGACAGTTAAGTCCTGGTACACACCTGCATTGCGAGCAGACGACATCTGGATCTGCATCTTCTTCTCTTTGTCCATCATCATTGATCTGAAGGATGGAAAGATTCAAAACAATGGATTAACTACTTCTATACAGTAGCATCAAAAATTATTAATGTAATACAGGAAAACTAAGAAAATAGAAATAGAAAGCACATGTTTTTAACAATATTGTCACATAATGCCATTAACTGGTCCATTTTTTCACTGATTCATCTATGCTCTGGTCTCCTTGGAGCAGTTTAAGATTATATATTTGAAACAGAAAATAAGTAAATAGAGGATTAAAGAGTCGTTCTCAGTGATCTGGGATGTGTGGCAGAGAGGCTAAAACTTCTTAGCTATGCTTAGCCACCTAATAAGTGGGTTGAAGTTTGAATCTCAACTTCAGCAGACTTGTATTTGCTAAGCCCCTAAGGGCAGCATTGAAACCTCGTAGATCCCCCTCTTCCAACTGGTTCACACAAGAGTTCACTAAGCATGCTTCATATAAAAGTAATTAAAAAAAAATAAATCTTTTAGTTGGTGAAATTATGACATCCATTAATCAATCAAAGAAATATTTTTAAAAAAATTATTTTGGCACATTATTGTTACCGGTACAGATAAAAAAAAGGAAATAAAAAACGACACATTGATTTTTATTTAAAATTTAAGGTCTGAATTAAAGTTCTTTAGTGCAACCATTTCTTTAAGAGTGGCTGAGATCATATTCAAGGCAAACGGCAGAGAGGAATGGATAAAATTGGTCAACAGATCATGGGTGGTGCACCAACGTTTCAAAAGATTAAGGGACAGATGAGGTTGAGGTGAACAATTCAATTAGGAAAGAGTTAATTTCTATTTACTTTCATATACTATGGTAAAAAATAATCTGATCAATTATTCAAACATTTGAAGAGCCATATTTCAAGAAAGAAGACTTTCAAATTCTCAAGAACTATACTAGTCAGGACAGTCTCAGTTTGGCCTAAATTGCAATTAATGTTAATAAATATACTAATGAATTTTCTTTACAATTTTACCAAATCAGATTGGGATCAGGGATGAAGAAAAACCTGGCAAAACTTATTTACACATTTACCAATTACTTGATTTACCTTACATTACTTAATGACTTTTAAATGCAAATATTTATATTACAAATATAAACTCACTGTCGCCTTCTCTTGAAAAGGACAACTCCAACAATGACAGCAGCACAAACAAATACACCGACAACGATTACTGCGATGATAGCCCCTGAAAAATTTTGTTTTTCTATTATAATCCTGTATAATTTATTTGAAACGTATTTATAAAAACTTTAAGAAAGATAACTATTTATCTTAACATCAGTTATGTACCGGTACCTTTGTTGCCTTTGCTGCTATCTTCATCTTTTTCTGTTTCTGTGCTATTGGTTGTAATGTTCAGACTCTGAACTGGCAATGTACCAGTAACTAAAAAAAATAAATATTGAAAAAGACTTATTATATGAATAGTTCTTGACATATTTATAAATAATTTATCTTTATAAAGAACAAATAAAAAGTTTTCCTGTTTGTTTCATAGTCATAAATTTTAACTGAAAATAAAAGAACTATATAATATTTGTGAAAATTGTGATAAATAATTACTCAAGAAAAGATGGGTAACTCGGAATAAAAAATCCTAAAAAAATAAACGTAATGAAAAAATAATTAAAATTTAAGAGCTAATACTAATAATAAACAAACAACTTAAAAAAAAATAAAAAATAGAACGTTATGTCTAGTTTCAAAAAAATATATTCTAATACCTTTAATATAAATATAAAAAAGCGTAAAAAATACTCATTTTCCCAGATGAGGGTTTGTACACTGGGCCTATGGTCTGTTTGTTTGAAAAATTCTTTAAGCAAACAAAAATCTTCCCAATTAGACTAAAAATAGAATTAGTAATCTTCTATATTAATTTGTAATCATGCTTGCAGCAAGACTGGAAGAAATCTTTTATTAAACAACTTTAAAGCAAGCATATCGCTACACTTGTTTAGGATAAAAAACATTCTTGACTGCAGAGGAGCTAATAGGTTAAAAAAAGATTTAACGTTTGCAATATAATGTACACTTCCAATCCTTTACCTCCAACTACGTTAGCATTCTCTCCTGGATCCACATTACTGGAGAAAGTTATCTCTAGTACAAGGCATACAAACAAAAATACAGATGCTAGTTTTGCAGTGCTTGAAAACATTGTCCTGCAATATGGAATTTAGGTGTACCTGAAGATGTAGTAATCTGCAGGGGAAAAAAAAAACAAACAACTAATTAAGTGCATTTTAAAATTAGAACTAAAGCCTAATAAAATATATATAAAAAAATACTTAAAAAAAAACAACAAAAAACAAAGCTTAACTAAGAATTAGAACTGCAAAATCACTGCCATAATATCTTAAAACTGCAGGGTTTAACTCACTTTTCTAAATAAAACAAAATTAATTACTAACCACAAATTGGTTAATTTTTGTTTGTTTGATTCATGAAAAATTGTGCAAAATTTTAACTTAACCAGAGAATGGGAAGTGGGAGAAAAAAAACTTGGTACAAAATTTGTATCAGACATTGGAAAACATTAAATCAAAACTTGTGAACTTTTAAAAGCTTTTGAACAATTTTTTTTAAACAAAACAATTTGTTAATTGAACACTTACATCTTCATCTAACAATTTATTTTCCCTTATCATGCACTCCTTTATGAATTATGTCAAGTCAAATGGTTTTCATTGTCAATGCAATCAGCCTAAGTCCTTAATGGTAACCAAACTTTTTGATCCTCAGCGTAGCTATATTAAATCCAGAAACAAGTCTAGATCAATCCCTCTGTACTAGAACTAATAGATCGATATATACTCTGTAGTTTTCCATTTGATCATAATATTAATAGTTAATTTCAATAGTTATAAACAAGGGTAGATACTTTATAGATTTGATTAGATCTAGACTATAGATCATGATTGTCTTGATCTCTATCAGTGGTCATCAATGAGGGCAAAAATTATAATTAGTTTGCCTCTAATTTAAGAACAGAAACAATGCTAGAGATTCCTTTTTTTAAGTTCCCTTTTTCTATAAACATTGAAAATTCCAGCAAAGAGAAAAACTTGCCATTATGCATTTACTTCTTCCAGTGTTTTATTGAATAGCCACAAGATAAATGTATGTCTTTGTGTCTACTTTGCAAGAAAATATTTTGAAATGAATCTATTCGGTCTCAGGAACATATGGCGCAAACATCTCGGCAAAAGGACAAATTAGAAATTTTATAAATTAAAAAAACAACAACGCAAGACTATTCAAACAGTATT